ATTTGTGTTTAATATGCATTTTTTTTCTTTTTTCTATCTCACTTTTGGTGTATGATATATGAAATTTAAGAGTGGTTCCTTTCTACCCAAACCAACGAGGGATGACGTCAATTTTGCATGGTCATTCAACAATTAGAAACGGAGAAGTTATTTATTTATTTATACGCGTAATTTTTTGTTTTTACTAATAAGTGTTTTGAATTATATGAAGAAAATAGTAATCAAATTCGTGTATTTGTAATGCATGAAAAAATAAAATAATAAAATGATACTAAAATGACTTTGTTATTGATGGTTAAATTAATATGCTTGTTTTTGTTATATAAATAATGTAACCGATTAACATTTTGAGAATAGAATCAGAAGAAAAATTCTACTTGTTAAGGGAGTTGGAAAATATTTTCTCCAGCTTAATTTATACTGTTGAATCCCACTATTAATTTGTTTTCTTCCAATTGTAACACTAATCACACCCTAAGAGTTGACGAAATAGTACATGTGCCAACCATGATTAAAATTTAGATAAAAAGATTTTAACTACTTTGTAAAAAGATTCTTAGAGTGGATCTGCCTATATAAAATTATAATAAATTCGAATTGTTTTATATTTTCTTAGATTTCAAATTTTTAGTGTGATTTAAGTTTGGTTCGATCGGCTGATTTGGTTGGGAACCCGACATAGAATATTGAACAAAGGGTGTGATATGCTTTTTATTAGGGCTCTTATTCAATTATCTCATTCAACAACAGTGTAGGAACTTGTAGTCCAAAAAAAAAGGGTATACAGAGAGTTAGGATTAATATAACTTAACATTAACCCAAAAAAAAAAAAATGGAACAAAGACTTCCTTTTTATAAATATTTTTTTTTGGAACAAAGAGCTTATCGAACTATTTTAGTTTACATGATCAAAAACCCATGGTAAATAAAATGAGAAATATAGAACAAACAAAAGCCCTAAGAAAAACAAAAGGTTAAAACAACAGAACTCTCGAACGATTAATTAGTCTTTTTCATTGATTTGGTACTAAGTAAAAGATAAGGAAGCGACAATGTGGAAGAACTGCAAATTCACCAAGACATCTTTGGCATGGCTAGTGGCTCGGCGTTCAACTCTTGAGAACAACTCGTTGCTTAGCTCTTCGCCGATGTGGGCCTCCACGAGTACTCCGGCTACACTCCGACAACTACAAGCGAAGGCACGACCGACCTCTGATGCATCGTCCGGCTTGCTCACCACAAGCGGACTTCCTCCTTTATAAACAACTAACTTCTCAATTGCGAATGAGCCGTCCGCTTCAACTACTTCCTTGAAATCTTGCAGGCTTGGTGCGTACACCGGAATATTGAAGCCGTCACGCTTCTCTGCCGGTACCAAACCCTAAAAAAAGGTTTTGTTTTATCATCTATGTTAGTTCTTATAATGTTAAGAGAAAATGAGCCCATAATAACATTCAGGATGTTATTTATATTTAACGAATTTCACTAGAACACCTCTATGTTGATCCAATTGAATTGCAAAAATAAATGATTTAATAATTTCATGGTGAGCCACATGAATTTTGTTTTTCGTAATTCAAAATGAAAATTTATATGTATTAAAATATGTTATACTGAATTAAATTATATCTCTAGTTTGATTCACTAACTTTTACATGATTATCTGACATGTAAACTTTACTTTTCGTAGTGATTATTTGATCTAGCGGATTAAACTGATTGTGTTAGAAAGCAACGTAACAATTCTTGTTGAACCCATTTACATGTCTTTTTAAACGTTGTCGAATAACATGGCCTGCCAATTTTGTCCATACAAGGTCCTGATGACTTTTCGACCAAAAAAAAAAAAAAGGTCCTGATGACGATTTTTTGTCGACGCATAAAATGATCCCACGGTGGATGGTTCAGATTCATCTAGGATCGATGACGACAATCGGACGGGTATCAATGAATGTTTACATTTAAACTAGGACAGTGATGTGAGGTACACTAACGTGGTCTTAAAGCCACCACAATCATTTGCTTCGGTTTTGTTATATATGGATTCACAAAATAAAAAATATTTGAGGAAAATGTTTTTTGTCATTAATGTGGATAGCTAGTATACTAGGTTTGAAGATTTTACGAGTTAAAGTCTAAAATATTGTAGCTGATGTAGTCAATTTTCTTTTAAAAAATAGCTATCTAGCGACATTTTGCAAAGAAATTATTAACTAAATTGGGAGAAATCATGTAGCTAGAAAAAATGGCTGTCTAGATATCGATCTTAGCTAGTGTTGTAAGTTAATTAATTTTCTAAAAGCCAAAAGAGCATATGGTTTAGTTAATATAAACATAGAACTCGAGGTTACTAACTTAGGTTTGCAGTGTGATTAATTAGTTAGTTGGGGAAATATATATATTGATTAATGAAGGTCGTACCTCGCGGACAAGGTCGTCCCAAGCGTCCTGAAAATGAGTGCCGAAGAGTAGACCGGCACCACCTTGGTCGGTAGGATCCACAGATGTACGACCGAGACAAACGAGGAACATGGAGCCACCTCTCTTAACCTCCGCTGCTCTTGCCCTCAAAAACTCAGCCAAGTCCGCCTGAAACTGCCGTTTGTACGCCGTCGCCATCTTCTCTCCAGCGCCGTGTATGAACACTCTCCCTCTATTGTACGCCGCCGATCTTCTATCCGTCACGCTCTCCGGCACCTACCATATATACATATGCTCCATTTCTCAAGAAAATCACTAGTTTTTTCTTTAAGAAAATTAAATTACAAGTATTTTAAAACATTTTTAAATTTCTATGGATGAAATGTATACAAAACAAAAAAAATTCTAATATGCTTTTTTGTTATTTATATATATAATAAAACTCACAACTAACTAATCTCACTATGTAAACCAAGTAAGATCGTATATAACTTAGTTTTAAATTTCCTTATTTGAGTAGTATATACGATCCAACAAAATTAATCTATACCATTTTAAAAGACTCGGCTGTGTGTCATTTTAATTATAACAGATTAAAAAAAATCAGTTTAACAAAACGTCAGTATTTGATTAAACGGATTTAGGCATCTAATTACTATACATCATTTTATATATTTTTATTGATTAAATTATTTAAAAATAAAAATAAAAATATGCTGAGTCTAAGCGTAATTCTAAACGTCTGATTAACATCTACGATAATTTTCACATTGATAAAATAATTAAAAGTTAGAACTGAAAAGAAAAAAACGTTAAAGCTTAAACCAAACGAACCGAACCATGCGACGTGTAAATTACGTGAACTATCGTATGTTACGTTACGCAGAGTATGTGCATACCTGAGAGAGCCAATGCAAAGAAAAGGCAGAGTGGAAAAAGTCAATGGTTCTCGCCGGAAAAAGTCTCCGGTAAAACGATCCGGGAACACCAGCGACGAAGTAGGAGCGATTTCCATCGGCAGCAAGACACTCCTCCATGCAAGAGTTGGAGACAAGTGGTGGAAGAAGCTGAAAAAGAGTATTAAAATCATTGCTTGGGAGATCGGAGAAGAAAGCTGTAAACTCCGGTGGGTCGATTCCGGCGGATTCAAACCGCTTAGAGATGTGTTTGACTATGAAATCGATTATGTGGATGGTGTTTGCGCCGGAGGAGCAGCCGAGATCTACCGCCGTGAACGGTGGAGGACTGACGGAGGAGTTTAGGTGAACATTGTCAAGTGTTTCTTCTAGAAGGTGAAGCATGGACCGTGCATGCATCGCCTGCATATATTTATATATTTTACTTTCATGCTAAATATATACATTTCCATGCACGTTGACGATGACTCTATACTTATCTTTTTTTTTCTTCTTTTTCTGGAAACTTTGACTCTATATTTGTCTCAACATCATTAGCATTTTGTTTTAATATATAGCTTAATTTATTTAGCAATTTATTTTTAGAACTAGTCCAATCCGGCCCGTTTACCTATACAAAGTTACAAACCAAACCAAAATCAAATCAGGAAAAATAATCCATAATATTTGGTTGATTTATTCCATATTCCAAGAAACCATAATTGAAAACTAAACTGAGTTGAACTGGAAAAAAACCTAAGAAAATTTTAAAATATGTTTTGCTCACCATTTAGGGCACCCCTTGCTTAAAACATAATCTCTTCTTGAATTCCCAAATTTATTACTCGGGATAACAAAAAAGAAGAAGAATCGAACTATATATATTATAAGTTTTCTTAATGGAAGTATATATGTAATTAGAACAAAAAGAGACCTGAGCTTGAGAGTTATTGGCATAGCTGTCTTGTCCTTTGCCACCTTTCATGCTGAGAAGTCTCTCGAGCTTCATGTTACATACAGCAACGTTGTCTCCCTTAGAACACATTT